TAACCGAGAACACAGTTCAGATTCAAGTTCACTTCGATGGCTATGGCGACTCAGTGCCCACACAACTCACTGTTCGCATACACAGGATCACCCTGGATATCCCACACGCGATACTCTGAACACATACACACACACACTGAACTCTACTACAGCTATGGCGGCTATGGCCGCTTCTACCCTATCGCTATGGCTACACTCCTCTCTCGCCCACTTCGTCCTTGGGCTCACTGCAGACCACCTCGCACAAGTCGCTTGTGGCAGCGCTTCCGCATGGCTCACGCAGGAATGAATGAATGACTGGGCGCTACCTCTTGATTTATACTTCTGCAGCTCGTTGGTCTGGCCCTTTTCCGATGCCCATAGTGCACACAGTCCCATGCGGTACTCGCTTGACTGGACCAGGACTGCCTAGGACTGGGACTGTTGACTCAGCACGGGTAGACTCCACCACTTGCCCACTTGCCTCAGCCTAAACGTGGGCAACTTCGAAAGGCCACTGCTCGGACTTTCCGGAAGGCCGTAGACTTGGCCTTTCGATACCGTAGCAGCTACGACCTTGACCTTTCTGGACTGTAGCAGCTACGACCTTGACCCTTGGAAACAGCTACAGCTATGACTGCTAGACCTGACTGGGACTCCTATTTGAAAGGTCTACAGATTGAACCCCTGCTACCTATGGGCCCCTACGACAACCTACCAGCTGTTACAAATACACAGGTCACGGGTTCAACTCTAGGGGTCGACACAGATACTGTACACAGGTAAGGTGGGGACTAGGGATCGAGCCCTGGGATCTGCATCAGCTACTGAGAACTGGTGAATACCGTTTCACAGATGGCAATCACACTGGCGACAAGAGCCCACACAAAGCTCAGAGATATCGTGGCCAAGAACACAGTTCATATCAACTTGCTTCGAATGGCTATGGCGCCTGCACGCCCTCACAACACCCTTCCACGCTCTTATCGTCACACGCACACTACTCTGGATCTTCCTGGATGTCCCACACATGCTCACAACTCACTGCACACTCATATGCAAACACGCTGTAGCCTATCTCTAACCTAGTGCAGCTATGGCTGCTTGCTACCTCTACTACTAACTAGCGGCTATGGCCGCTTCGTCTCCCTTCCAGCCCACTTCTTCCTCGGGCACTCGCAGACCTCCTTGCACAAGTTGCTCAGGCAGCGCTTCTGCACGGCTCACAGTCTGAATGAATGAACAACTGGACGCTGCCTCTTGATTTATACTTCAGTTGGTCGCTGGTCTGCACCTTTCCTTCAGGCCTAGGATGCACACAGTCCCACATGGTACTTGCTGACTGGACAAGGTGCGATTGGGACTGGGTACCGCTGACAAGACCTGGTAAGTCTGCCCACTTGCCTACGAACTGCTTCTGAGACTCTCGAAGTGGCAGTCCTAGAAGACTCTAGACCTTCCTACTTGCCCTTTCGGTACTGTAGCAGCTACGTCTAAGGTTGACCCTTCAGATCTACCGCAGCTACAACCAGACATAAGCTATGACTCCTACCCTACAGGTACGCAGCTCGAGCCTACTCAACCCTCGTTTTTGCAACAGCCTTAGACAGACAACTTTAGGGGAAGGTCAAGGGTTCAAACATTGATGAGGCAAACTGTAGTATACACAGGTTCAGGGCAAGTCTAGGGATCGAGCCCTGGGATCTGCATCTGCTACCACGAAGGTGAAAACCGTCTCACTCCTGCCGGCCTAAATTCGAGGTCCTCCGAGAATATTCTAGTTCATGACAGGATCTTTACCTTTTCTCTCTCTTTCATAGGCTCAGACTATATCGGGAGCAGTCTCCAGAAGTTCTGTTCGGGTAAACCAGCAGTCGTCTTCTGGCTCTTGATAAGAAAATCTGACTTTGTATTGTTTCTGTGGATGACCTCTACCTCCTGCTCTGAATATATCCTCACCTACTGTGCGATCAATGTCGTATGTTCCGTCCATATCCGGAGGGATCATGGACCTCCTCCATGGGAACTGTTAATTCATAGTGCAAGGCAACAACTTTGACGCATGAAAGACTAGGTAGGTGTGGAGGTGTGCTGGAATCTCTATCGTGTAGGGTGGTCCATCCTCTCCGCCCTTGACTTCTAGGACTGTCCACGGTCCTCTATACGCAGGTAACAGTTTCTGCGAAATGTTCTTCTCAGGAGCAAATTCTTTGGATGGACTAGGTCGCCTACCTGGAACTGCGACGGGCGACGGTGCTTGTTGGCTTGCTCTATCATCTTATGTTGGGCCTTCCTGAGGTTCTCTATCATGGTAGTAATCTCTTTCTCGTGCTTTAGTGGAAACTCCCTAGTCTTGCGTGACAGCCTCTGGATCTGATCCCGATTCAGTCCCTCAAACGGTCTACGTGGTTTAAAGGACTTATGTAGTTCGTTGGGAGTGCGACAGGTTGCTGAATGCACGTTGTTGTTATATGCATTGGCTACCTTTGGAAGCATCTCATCCCAGTTGACCTGATCAGGTCTAATGTACATTCTAGGAACTTGTTGCAGGATCTTATTCATCTGTTCGATCTGACCGTTAGTCTCTAGATGGCGGCCAGACGACATCAACAACTTAGATCTATAGACTCTCATCAGTTCCTGCCAGTTCTGACTAGTGAACCTGGTGTCTCTGTCACTAACTATGGACAGCGGTAGAGCATATTCACTGACCCAATAATCAAATAACTTTTCTATTGCTAAATTGGTACGTACCTCTGAAGGCAAAGGAACGGAAACTGCATATTTGCTAAATCTATCGACTACAACCATAACTTGGCTTTTGCCATGCCTACTTCGGACCCCGACATCCATGAAATCTATGGACACTGACGCTTCGGGCCCTGAGGGAATAGGCAAGGGTCTGAGAAGACCCAGAGGGGCTTGCGTAGTGGTCTTGTTTCTCTGGCACACCTTACAACTGCATATATACTCTATGCAGTCAGCCTTCATGCCAGACCATGTATGCGTGCTAACGAGGTTGGCTAATGTCTTTTGCCAACCGAAGTCTCCCTTTGTGTCGTGGCATTCCCCTAAGATCAAACTATGGATCTCCTCACTGTTGGGAACGCATAAACAGTCGGCTACATTAGTCTTCTCAAATAGCAATCCATCTGTATTGCGGTAATCTGGTTCAGTCTCTGGGGCCTCCTTAACTCTCTTGAGGAGGTCGCTATAAATAGGGTCTTGCGCATACGCCTCTTTGACTCTCTGTTGCAGGTCCCTCCCTATGTCCAGATAATGTACTATCGCTCCAAAGTAATCGACTCTTCTACTTAGAGCGTCCGCAACTACATTGTACTTTCCCTTAACAGGCTTGAGCTCAAAGTCAAATTGATCGATTTTTGCGGCCCACCTAGTAAGCTTAGGTGTCAGCTTGGCCTGAGTCTTCGACCACCTCAATATCTCGTGGTCTTAATAGACTTTAAAGTGCCTCCAGAGCAAGCAATGCTTCCAGTGGTCTAA